CCATAAATTAGGTTTTTTAAAAAAGAATATCTCATACCCATTTACGTGTTTGTTTTATTTGATAAACCAGAGAGAATTATAATGTTCAAAAGAAAGGAAGGAAAAGGAAGTTGCTGGTTGACCAAAGTGATTGAACTGGTGACGTTTGGAGAGGGGAGTTTCCTAAGGCAGGCAGGAGTGCTTGGGCGAACGGTGCCTGGAGTTTCATCCCTCCCGTGGGCTTGCCTTTCTTCCCGGTTTCTGGGAAAACGGTAGGAAGCTGAGCAGAGCTGGCTTCTTTCATTTCTTCCTCCCGCTAGATCACCAACTGCCTTTTCAGTAACCTGGGTACAAGTTTTAGGGAAAAATTCCTTGCATAATTTAGAGCTTAATGGTATTAATAGTAAGTATTGCAGGTTGTATTTCAAGTTGCCATTTGCACTTCTACTGATAACTGTTGTGAGGGGAATGCTGGGCCCATTAATTTGGAGATTCCTTAAGCTCATTTCACCCTCTTATTCTCCTTTTCATTTTCTTTTGTACAGATCTAAAAGTGATGGTGAAGCGTTTGCCTAGTCATTCTTGTCTAGAACCAGCTTCTGTGGTCCTGAAACCCGAGGGTTAGCTCAGGTGGTGTCATAAGCCAGTGTTAAGTTGCACAGCTATGAGCATTTGAAAAAGTGACAGTGTGGGCTGGGTGCAGTGGCTCACGCCTGCAATCCCAGCACTTTGGGAGGCCAAGGCAGGGGGATTGCTTGAGACCAGGAGGATTGCTTGAGGCCAGGAGTTCAAGACCAGTGTGGGCAACATAATGAAACCCCATCTCTACAAAAAATATTAAAAAATAAAAAATAAGAAAGAAAAGTGACCGTGTAAATGCTCCTATTGTTTCCTCAGCCAAGATGTTTCGAAGGGTGCTCACCATCGTGCAGGCCCACTGTAAGCTGGGTTTGACTGCAACCCTCGTCCGGGAAGATGACAAGATTGTGGACTTAAATTTTCTGATTGGGCCTAAGCTCTACGAAGCCAACTGGATGGAGCTGCAGAATAATGGCTACATCGCCAAAGTCCAGTGTGCTGAGGTAGCTGGGCCTGGGCTGGGGGTGTCTGGGATAGGGCCTCCTCCCGTGGGCCGGGGAGTGATCAGATCAATTCCTCATGGGCAGACACAGGTCAGGACTTAGGCTTACCTGCTACCACCTCATGCAGGATCCTCAGTCACCCTGTGAGTGGGTGGTACTAGACCCACTTGCCACATATCTTCTGCCTTGTCACATATCTCACATACCTCTGAATTTGTGATGATTCTTTTTCCTAACCACGGGGTTTACCAGTCATGGATTTCTGTGGGTGAGGATTAGCGTTCAGGGCACAGGGAATAATGAAGGCCCCCAATACCACAGTGCTGCCTGGGAGCCTGGCAGCAAAGGGTTTTGCTCTGATGGGCCCAAGGGCCTAACTGACATGCTCCTGGCCCTGCTAGGAGGTGTGTAAATAGGTGGCAGTACTCAGCAGCAATGCTGACTTGTGTGTGTGGAGGAATTGCTGGTGCTACCGGCTAAGAAGCTGGTTTCCCTCACTCGCAGCTGGTGTGAAAATAACTCCTGGGATATGATTGCATTTACACATCTTCTAAGTGGTTGACATGTGAAAGCATCCAGTTCAACAGGAGGTATTAGGTTGGGTTTAGTTTTGTGCATGTGTTTATTTTCAGTTGTATTGATTTCTAATTCACATACCATTGGTTTTGGTTTTTTTGTTTGTTTGTT